TTGAGTACTCCCACCTAAGTCAGTTCTGATAGGTATTCTTCTTACTTCCAATAAAGTGATCTCACTACTCAGCCTTAAACACAATGGTGAGTGAAAGAAGCTGTATAAAAGAGCTACAGTTATATTTACCTGACGCTCAAGGAAAGCAAAGCCAACGTGTAGTGGTAGAAGTCAGTTGGGGTTACGTCTTGGGTGGTAATGGATCATGAGAGTTTGGGGAAAGGTATAAACAAAGCTTCTGGAATTTAAGAGCCTCCCATTCTCTGTGGATGGCGACAGTTGGTCTTCATTGTCAACCTGATGGGGTTAGAAACACATGGAGACACATTTGTGGGTGTGTCTGTGAGGGTGTTCCCAGAGAGACTTGGCTAAGAAGGGAAAACCCACCCTGAATGTGAGAAACCTCATCCCATGGGATGGGGTCCCAGACGGACTTAAAGAGTGTGGTAGTTTGAATGTCATTGGCCCCCATCAGCTCACAGGGAGTGGCACGATTAGGAGGCGTGGCTTAGACAAATAAGTAGCCCAGGAGAGGAAGCGTTGTGGGGAATATGGTTTACAAGGACAGTGTGCTCAACTGTGTTGAACGCTACGAGGAAATCAAGGGAGATGAAAGCATAAGAGAACTGCACATAAGCAATAATGGCCTTTAGGAGAGCGGGGAACTATGGGATTTCTTTGGCTTGAGAGAAAGGAGGGAAGCTGGATCTTTGTATGTGTGTATGAAAGCATATATATGAGTGTATGTTATGAGTGTGTGTGTATGAGAGTGTGTGTATATGTGTATGAATGTGTGAGAGTATGTGTATGACTGTGTGTTAGTGTGTGTGAGTGTATGTGTATGAGTGTGTATGTGAGTATATATGTATGAATGTGGGTGTATGAGAGTGTGTGTATACATGTGTGTGGATGTGTGTGTGTGAGTATTGTATGAGTATGTTAGGGTGTGTGAGTGTATATATATGGGTGTGTGTGTGTATGTGTATGAGTGTGTGTGTTAGTATATGTGTGTTTATCAGCAACACATATCATAGGATAATTTTCTTTTTTTTTAAATTCCAACCTGCAATTTATTCAAGATATAAGGCCGATTGAGAGACTCTCTGCAGAGGCCTCTGCCTCCTCCTCTTTCAGATGTAGAATTCTGCTGCTGGGCCTCCTGCCAAACACATCTCCTGGGACCAAGGCTAGATGGGAACTGAGCTGCTGGGTGCTGGCCAGTTGCTCTTCCATTTCACAGACGGACTTGCTGAGGCAAAGAGGAGGGACTTAGACATGAGGAAAGTCCTGGGGTACGCAGAGGTCAGGATTGTCCTTGCCGTCTGTCTTTGGGTTTTATGTGTGACAGTGTGTATCTATACACCTTGAAATGACAAGTGAGTCAGGATGCGTGCTGGCGAGGACTGTGGAAACCTCGTTTTGACCGTCAGTGTCATTTCATCAGCATCCAGGAGCTTGGGAGAGGCTTCTGAGCAGAGCTAGAGTACCAGTCCACTCATTGATGCTTCTTCGCCCGAGTGACCCAGGCCCTCCTCAGCAGACCCACATGCCAGGGGTCTTCAGGCTGCTTCTAGCCACCTGCTTTCTACAGCAGTAAAGCGTTTCATGACATCACAATGAAGATGGCCGTCCATCAGAAGTCGCCGGCGTTAGGAAGCGATCTGATGGTGAGGGTGGTAAAGTAGGGGTGGCTCACCTCTGGATTTTCTTACTAACAACCTTTGCAGGGGACTGGAGAGAGAGCTCAGACAACACAGTGCTGGCCTTGCAAGCATGGAGACGTGAGTTCGGTTGCCAGAACCCAGGTAAAAAGTCAGATACGGAGGCATGTGCTTGGAACCCCACTACTGGGGAGGGAAAGACAGCGGCCAGGCAGCCTAGCCTAATCGGGGAGCCCTAGGCCCCCAGCCCCAGTGAGAAACTCTGTCCAAAAAAACAGGGTGGGGCTGGAGAGCACTTGCTGTTCTCGCTTGAGCCTTGACGTTCAGCTCCCAGCACCTACTTTGGGCAGTTCACAACCACCTGCATCTCCAGCCACAGGGGATCTGATAGCTCCTTCTGGCCGTATAGACATCTGTATTCATGTGCACATACCCATACACTGACTTATAAGCATACACATTTTTAAAATAATCTTTAAAAGGAGAGAGGATGGCTCAGTGCTTAAGGGCACTGGCCGCTCTTCCAGAAGACCTGGGTTTGGTTCCCAGCAACCACATGGCGGCTTACAGGTGTCTATAACTCCAGTTCTAGGGGATCCAATGTCCTCTTGTGACCTCCATGGGCACCAGGCACTCACAAAGGGCACAGATGTACATGCAGGCAAAACACCCATACACAGAAAATAAAAATTAGTAAGTCTTAAAAACACACACACACACAAGACAAATTCCACCTGAGCAGCACCTCTGGCCTCCATACACACATATGTGCATAAACACAAGAACACACAAGTATGTATATATATATATGTGTGTGTGTGTGTATGTGTATATATTCATATATATACATACATATATAAGCTTTTACAAAACAATGTGAAAAATAAATATATCTAATAAAAGTATATAAAAGTCACTTACAAATAGGTAGACATTTATTCTTATAATTAAAAGAATATAAATTAAATCATGTGGACATTTTAAAAACAAGGAATAAATTATAGATTCTATATTTCACCGATCAGAATAGAGGTCATGGTGAAGGAGCAGAAACTCAGTAATTTCCGTGTGTTGCTAACAAAGGCTTAGCCTGAAACCTCTTTGAAAGGCAGCTTAACAACAGTCAAAATGTAAATGTACATTTCCTTTGATTAAAATACATAAAATTATCTGTAAGGCATGTTGCTATGTGCCTGTAATCTCATCTATTAGGAGGCTGAGGCAGGAGGATTATAAGCTTGAGGGCCAGCCAGACAACTTAGTGAGAGCCGGCCTCAAAATTAAATAAACAGGGGCTGGGAATGTAGCCCCGGGGCAGAGCACTGGCTTGCCATGGCCAAAGCTCTGGGTTCATCCCCCAGCACAGGGAAAACTTCCATTTTCTTCAGAAGATTACAAAAGTTTGATTGCGTCATTGTTTGCTACAGCAAGGGCCAATAGGCACTTCAGTGGGAGGTGTTTGATAAGTTACCTCACGGATCAAAGACACTGGCACAGGTACTGGAGTCTTCGCCTTCACCTGCCGGCTAAACACACACACACACACACACACACACACACACACACGCACGCACGCACGCACGCACGCACGCACGCACACGCACATACACGCACACACGCACACACCCAACCATGGCCCAGGAAAACAGGTTCAGGTGCCCCAAATACCATGTGCCAATGTGGTAGCAGTTTCACCGAGTTTTTATAGTTACGGAACAAAGAAAATAATAAAGGCCCATTTTACAGAGGTTGGTGCAAGGATCAGGTAGACAAATCACAGCAAGGCCAGGAAACCTCTGTGTCTCTGCCTCAGATGTCATCTCTTGATATTTTTAGCCTTTGGGTTGGTAGAAGATAGGGGTCTCATTGTACATTTCAAAGGGATTTCCCTAATAGTCCCAAGGACATTAGGTCAACCACAGAGGTGGGTGGTACATGGCTAGAGAGCCTGAAGGAACTTGACTCTGGATCTGCAACATTCTAGCTCTCCATAAACACGGACGCTCTAACCAGTCAATCAGCCTTGCAGAATGTCTGAAATGGGTGAGGCCTCTTTCTCCCCTGTTCACTTCTCTCTCCCTCTCTCTCTCTCCATAAGGAAAATCATCAATAGCTTTTAGTACCAAGAGGAAACAGAGTGCAGGAGGAGTAGAGGCTTTGTGGAATCCAGACAAGTTGGGGAATGTAAGGACCTTTAGAGAGGGAAAGCTGGGGTGGGGAGGGTGGGGGGGTGGGGGTGGTATTGTTCAAGCTAAAAGCCTCTGTTTGGGTCTCATCCACGTTAAAATAATTTTCACAAAAAGAAAAAAACTCATAAAAAGAGAAAATACAGCACAGTGTAACATAGACTGTCCGTCATGGGGAAGTATAAGTGATTATTTTTTTAATTCTTGTCTCTAGATTTTTGTGTATTTTTTTAAATTTCCACGTAAGCATGGGTTCGCTGCTAGACTCTCCTCGGCCGGTAGGTGGTGCTGTTTAGTGCTTTCTCAAACCTGGTCCGAGTTAACAGAAAACAGATCTGGTGTCGGAAGCGCAGCCACACTGAGCTGTCAGATCCCAATAGGGTCAGGCCACCGCTGTCACCGCCCCGAGCTGGCTAGAAGATGCGCCAGTACCGATCCCTTTTGGGTAAATGGGATTGGGAGAGTTGATCAGAGTACTTGTCAGAGCCCAAAGAAACAGAGGTTGAAGGCTGTTATACAGAGAAATTATGTCCCGAAAAACCATAAATAAATAAATAAATAGATAGACAGATAGATAGATAGATGATAGATAAATAGATAAATAAATAAATAATAAGCAAATAATAAATAAATAAATAAAACAGAGGTTGAAATGTCTCAGCGATCCGAAGAATGGGTTCTTAATTAGGAAAATTGCCTCGAAGTACTGGTGCTAAAACCTTGTCCAACCTCTCCAACCCAGAAGAGGGGGAGAGGGGGAGCACTAAATTAAAAACATCAAAGTCAGATGTTGGAGTAAGTCCAGAGTACCATCCCAGGACGGATTTTAAAAGTGCAGCTTCCCAGATGTGAGAGATCCCATCCCCAAGGGGCGCGCAGGGATGGCGAGGCACCAAAAAGCTGGACTAGTCCCCGGGGAGGTATCCGGCCTGCGTGGCTTTGGCGAGGGGTCCTGAGACCTGCGCTCCAAGACGTGTCCCCAAGGAGCCGGGCTGCGAAGACTCCCGGAGGAGGGAGCGGAGCTCGGCAGAGAGCGCGGGCGGGCTCGGCTCAGCGAAGCTCGCCCGGCTCTGCGCTCTAAGCCCCGCCCAGAGCTCCTAGCCCCGCCCCCTGGGGGGGGTCCGCGCCCGGCCCCGCCTCCGTCCTTCCTGACTTGCGCGCGCAGCCTGCGCCTGCCCCCTGGTCGGTCAGGCGCCGGTCCCGAACCCGCCCGTCCAGTGTCGCGGCGCTCGGGTCGCGGTGCACGGCGAGTCCTACCGAGGTCCGCAGCCCCGCGCGGCCCCAGCATGAGCGCGCGCCACCCGGCCCTCGGCCTGCTGCTGCTGCTGCTGCTGTGCCCTGCGCAGGTGAGCGGCTTCCAGAGCCCCGGGCGGGCTGGGCGGGACGCGGCGGGGCCGCGCGGCGGCTCCGGAGACCCCGGGCGGGGGGCGCGGGCGGGGGGAAGTCGGTCTGCGGGTGCAGCCGCGGAGGTCGCCTTCTCCTATGTCTGTCCACCCTCGTGCTGTCCTGTGGTCTGGAGAGGTGACAGCGGGGGCCGCTATTTGGCCGGCTTTGCGCTCATTCCAGCTGTGGTCACCTGATTTAGGATGTGGGGTTGGAGGGACAGTGGGTGCAGAGGATAGGGACTTTGCTTGTTTTTAGCCTTTTAAAACAAAAACAGATTCTACGTGCACACGAACTCTTAAGTTTACTTAGCTCCGACTGCATTATTGCTCCTTGTCTCCAGACGGTGGAGGCGGAGGAGAACAAAACTCAGGCACCAAATTGAACCAGTCTTGAGTACTTGAAGTGAATCAGCCCGATCTAAAGTGTGGGTTGCCTCTTATCACGTTCATTTGAACGTTTCGGGAAACAGAGGCCCACAAATACAATAGGCCCACAGAACAACACCTGGAACAGTGTAGTGACTTCCCTCTTCTGGCTTTTCGTTGCTGTGGCCAACTTGGGCACGGGTGTGTCACTACTGTTGGTGTGTCTACGGTTGTCTCATTGGAAACAATGGGTGTGTTTGTTTGGGGATGCCTACAGAGGGGTACTAATTAAACCAAATCAGGATGACTGAGTCACTGGAATTCTGTGCCCCTGTGTCCACTAACTTCCTTTAATGGACTTATGGGTTATGACAAGGTGGTGAATCAGAAGTGAGAGCAGATGAAGGGCTTACCCGGTCTTTAAATGTCTGGGCAGTGCTCAGAGGGGCATCCGGGTGCTGGCCCAGTAGGGCCCGGGAGCCAGGAGAAGCACACGTGCACATACCAGGCTGAACCAAAGGGGCTGTTTGGGACGCGCCAACCCTTGCCATCTCTGGTTTTAGGTGTTTGACTCAGCCTTGATTTTTTTGAGATGATAAATACCTCATCATTATTACTGAAATAAGTTAGTGTGTGGAGAAGCCATTTCTCTGCCTAATGTAGTGCCTTAGAGAAAGCGTCAGCAATTTCTTTTCCCCAGAGTTTTAGGTCAGGACCTAATCAGCAGACTTCACATTATAAGTGGTTTAAACTTATCTCTGCTTTTACCTCAAGGTAGCCGTCAAGGTTGATAAGCAATAAGCTTCTCTTTTAGTACATTTGAAGTAGACCAGAAGTTGATTCTCTTGCAAAATGCCTGAGAGTCTTTCCAAAGTCCTCTCAACTAGAAACGCTCCCATTGTTTTAAAATCGGCTTCCTGCTATCTGGAGGCTCCCAGGGCAGCTGAACTGATGGGGGAGGGGTCTCTGGTTTTAGAACTCACACTGGTCTGTGGCTGCAACTCATCAGGTTTCAGTCTGAGCACCAATCAAGTTGCTTGGGGATAGAGGCAGTTGTCCTTTGGAAAATCTAAAATGCATTTGGAGAGATTTTGGGTTTTTTTCCTTTAAATTTTTCCTCTTACAGATGATGGAATAACATTGCCAAGTTGAGTGTTCTGTTTTCCTGCTTGTTTTGGCTTTTTTTGTGTGTCAGGGTTTATCTCTAAGGGCCCAGGTTCTGATGCTCACTATATTGCCCAAGTGTGCCTTGAATTCACTGTGAACCTGCTTCAGCCCCCTAAGTGCTAGAATTATAGGCATGAACTACTGCGCGGGCTTAGACAACTTGTTTTTAATGCCTGTGTTTGCTAATTGTCATGGTGTGCATGCCTTTAATCTGAGCCCTGGGGAGGAAGAGTCAGGCAGATCTCTGTAAATTTGAGGCCAACCTGTTCTACCTAGCAAGTTCTAAGCCAGTCAGGTAAATATTGAGACCCTGTCTCAAACATACAAACAACAACCTACCTGTGTTCATCCAGGTATGAAGACAATTTGGGGGAAATAAACGTGTCTCTCCTGACTTTTCTTTCTTTCTTTCTTTTTCCCTTGAGGAACTTGAAATGTGTTGAGGTCTGAGTACTCATTAAACATATAAGTGGCTTTTTCAGAGATGATCTGGAATGGGTTAATCTTTTAGCCTGGAGGAAGGATGAATAACTTTGTGAAATTGGAGTTGGGTATGTGTAATCCCTAGCTTCGGTCCATCAGTCAGATTGATGGAGTAAGATTTGATAACATAAATTACCAACTTGCTGAATAGAACTTTGTATTTCTCCGAATTTATTATATTACCCAGAACAAAGAGTCCCTCTGTTGAGGGAGGCACAGGCACCCTCTCCTGACTAAGCCTCCTCAGGCCACTGTTCAAGAGACCCACTGTTTCAGGCATGGCGTATCACCTACTGGGAAGTCTGGACTAGGCCATCTCAGGTGCTCTTTCACTCTGTCACCTGGGGCCTGCAGAGGGTGTCTGCTGCCCAGACACATGAGACCATTTGCTATCAAACCCACACAAAGTCTTTGCCAGACTGCCACGGTCCCTGTGGCCTGGAGCTTTCTTGGTGATGCTGTGCTGTTCCCCAGCCAGGATGCCTTCCTATGGAAGTTCTTAATTTTTGCTTCAACTGCTGCAGTGGCTTTTTCTGTTTACAAAGTCTTTGAACTCAAAGACCTGAGTGTGGGGAGGGGGCCCTAACCCCATCTCTCCCCACTAGAACTCCAGCCCCCTCATAAAGTCATATTAACTGTGCCTACTTTCCAGGATATTTGTTGGTTGTTTTTTAACTGAAATGCCAAATTACAGGCCCCTTGAGGGCAAGAATTATATTTTGTCTCCAAGTGGGGCCAGGACTCTTGATATATGGCTGTTTTTCATCATTATGTCTCCCAGCCTCAAAGTGGATCTTGAAAAGGGACTTAAATATTAGTTGTGATCAAAAATGTATTTGCAGGGCCTGGAGAGATGGCTCAGCATTTGGGAGCACTGGCTGCTCTTCCAGAGGACCTAGGTTCAATTCCCATCACCCACATGGAAGCTCACACCCGTCTGTAACTCACGTTCCAGGGCTTCTGACACCCTCACACAGATAATACATGGTGCAAAACACCAATGAACATAAAATAGCAATAAATTATGTATATGTAATGTATTTGTAGTTGATTTCTGGTGGTGACGGTGATTGACTGTTTTCCTAGCTTGTGCCTGTGTGTGTGGTGGGGGAGGTGAGGGTGGTTATGTGCACACGGAGGGCAGAGGTCAAGTGTCTTCCTCAGTCACTGTTCACATTTTTTTGACACCGGGTCTTTCACTCAACCCGGGGCTAACCTATTCAGCAGACTAGCTAGTCAATAAACCCTAGGGATCCATCCTCCTGTCTCTGCCTCCTCAGCTCTGGGTTATAAGCATGTACCACAGTGCCTGACTTTTGACGTTGGTGTTGGAGAGCCAGACTCTGATCCTCTCAGGCTTGTGTGGCAAGCACTGATTGACCAACTGAGCCACCTCTGGCAGCCTGTAATCTTAGTCTTTGGAAGATTTGTTTAGGTAACAGAACTTTAAAAAAAAAAAAAAAAAAAAAAGGCTTAAAGCCCTCTCGTACAATGAATAAGCTTCTGAAAGGATTTGAAAGACACTAACACTTTCTCCTTGATCATTTTACTGTCCTTTTCCTTAGGTCACACAAGAGGAATTCAAATTAATTCCCTCATTATAAAGTAGGGACTCTGGGCACAGTGTAGGATGTGAAGATCTAGAGACCCAGCCCATTGGGAAAGCAGTGTATACGCTATAAAGGGCTGTGTAATGTCAACTACTCTCTCTGTCTTGTGCATACTTAGTGGGTGAAAGACTGGGGGAAAATGGTAGTGTCGGGAGAGATGCTGAGGTCAGACAAGGGCAGGTTGTTACAGTGTTGAGCTGAGCTCTTCGAGTGAATTGTGTACCAGGTGACCAAGAGGAACCGGGAAGATGGAGGACGGCCATAGAAATGATTCACGGTAGAGGAGATGGAGTCACTGATTACCCTAGTTTAATCATTTCATGTCATATACTTATATTGAATTATACTATATTCTATAAGTACATACAAATATTTATCATAAAAAACTAAAAATTGCAAAATTGGAGCGGGGCAGCAAGTGAAAGTGTTCCAGTACAAGCCTGGTGACTGAGTTCAGTCCCTGCAGCTCACTGTGGGAGGAGAGAACCGACCCCCAGAAGCCGTCCTCCGACCCACAGGTGCTGCACTGCACACACACAGTGTGATAATGCAGAGTCTTACACGGCAGAAAGTCATCTAGTTGCTGACAAAAACCATTCACTGAGTTGCATGTGATGGAGGGATAAATTATGGTGTATAAACTATCTTCATAAAGTTGTTAAAATGGCCAGGATGGTTTCCTTTTTGAGTGACACTTGCTGTGTAAACCCGCTGGCCTCCGACACCTCCGAAGAGCTGGGGTGATAGTGTTGTGCGGCCGTGTTCACTAGCAGGCAGTGGGAGCGATTCTGGATTACAGAGGATGAAAGATATAGAAGTAGCCACCCCGCTTTCGCACAGTGTCGTGATCACACAGCTAACCTTGTTTCGTCGTCATAGAACCCCTGCAGTAAAAGTATATTTTTCCTGTTTTTAAGACTTACTTATTTTTGTATATTATGTATATAGGTGTTTTATCTGCACACCGGAAGAGCGCGTTGAATTTCATGAGACTGTAGTTATGCACAGTTATGAGCTACAATGTGTGTTTGGGAATTGAACTCAGGACTTCAGGAGGAGCAGCCAGTGCTCTTAACCCCTGAGCCTTCTCTCCAGCCCCTTATTTTTGTTGTTTTATCAACAGGAACACTAAGTTCGTGTTTGTCTCAAGGTCACAGGGCAGTCAGTGGCAGCCCAGAGCTGGATTTCTGCAGTCCACTCAAGTTCAAGTGATGCTACCTGATGATGGAAGTTAGCGAGCTAAAGGGAGTGGGGGTCAGCAGTCACCCCCTTGGCCAGCCAGGCTCCTCCTCAACACCTGCTCCTGTCTTGGGCGACTCGTCTGCTGACCATGGC